AACTTCACAATTAATATTACTTTCATGCAATGTTCTTAATTTGTTACGGAGTACTAGCTAGGTTTATGCAGCAGCCGCTCTTGTCTTAGGATTTGGTCATCATGGTTAGTTTGGTGCGCATGTGACATTGATAGAATAAAATGGCCGGGCTCCTTAATAATAACGTCATCCATTAAAAAAGAGCATGCTACAAATTTGAAAGGATGTGAACTGATTTTGTCTTACTATTGTACACTCTCTTGACTCTCAACTACTTGACATTATTTGCATAGTACTACATTAATTATTTTACATTTTTATAACGCTTAGCTTGCTTATGAAATTTTGTCAAACAATAGCATGATTGGTTCATAATGATATCAAGATAACTGTTTTGGGTGAGCTCCGGTAACTCATGTATGGAATCGGTAAAAATTTGTCGTCTAATTGAGTACCTACACAATCAACGTGGATTAGCTAATAACCTCGGGGTGTGTCTGGGAATAACCGCTCTGATGATATATAAATTTAGTCTCAAATTTATAAGAATAAGAAAGAAGATTTGAGAATTCTAGAGAGAGAGAGAGCATTTTAGTGAGAGAAATTGTACCTTATAAATGAAATACCATGGGTATTTATAAGAAGATAACCAAGCTTAGTAGGTACCACGTGGCTTGCATGGTTGTCCACGTGGCCACCGTGTAATACTGGTACAGGTAAGATGATGTTATAAAAAGCGTGCCAAAACCAATATCCAACCTGACTATACTAGAATCATATCGGTACCAGTATCATCCCGTACAATAACAATGCTGGTTTAAACCTTACTTGATCTCCAACCACATGTTAGCTATGAATTATTGAATTGTACGTGTAGTGCTATTATAAGTGTGAAACTCCAAATATTAAGTAGCTACAAAAAAAAAAAAAATCAAAAGTAGACACAACGTTATTTAAAGAAAGAGAAAAAGAAAAAAAAAATTAGTTCCCTTATTTTTTATATTGAAAATAAACTAAATCCAAACAAGCCATAAGAAAATTTAATATTTTTGCGTATCAATGAGCTATGTGTGCATTATGAATTTATGATCATGCAATTGTGATAATTTCTCTTGTTCATAGAGGTGGTAACCAAGAGACATGTCTTATGGTACATTTATTACTGCTTGTTGATTACTCTACTAGATTTTGAATGGATCAAGTGCCTAACAATATTGTCAAGGTATTGTGTTCGTTGCTTCCAACTTTGTCTTCTTTTCCTTCACCCTACTTTATCAAGGATAAACCAACAAGATCAACTTTTATACTTAAGAAATTGCTCATGATTTGCATGACCCCAAAAAATTAATTAATTAAATTAATTTCATAGTGGTTTATGATCGGAATTAGGTTCATTATTCAATTGATTAATTACGTATTGCTGGAAATTTCCTTGATTAATAGTAGCTTCATGTATATAATAACTAAATAAGTTAGTAGTTGTAACAATAAATGATCGGTAGACATGCATGTGGTGGTTAGCTATTAGGGCATGCAGTTGACTGAAACATAGTACTATATGAGAAAATTTATAACTCTGAAAAGGCGTTTAGCAACCAAGTATGGAAATCAACAGCCAAGTTTATAATCTTCACATGGTTCCGCACGGAATTGGCTAGCTAACACATTCGATTCACTATTTAACCTTTGACAGATTGTAATTTAATCATAAATACATCAATTCAAAGAAAATGTGTCAATTAAAATGAAAGTAAGAAATTACGATTTTAGATATACCGTGTAATCCCTTAATTTTCACATAGGACTAAGACACCACCTTGGTAGTTAGGCAAGTAGTCTTTTTCTATAAGATCAAAGACAAAATGGGATTAAGACTAAAAATTAGGGCGAAAAAGGCATAATTCGTTGCTTCTGAAGTGGCAAATGGCATAACTTAAGGACGAAGCTGCTATAAAACTAAGATACGTAATTTATAAAATTCCGGTGCCTCTATTTAATGCTTGCTTATCATTCATGTGATAGGGCGGCTCCTCATTTTTGTTTGACAAATCCACTACCATTTCTTTCTCTATAGGTTTCTTATTTTAACAGTTGTAAATCTTGTAATTTAATTTAAAACAAAATCGCCTTCTTGTTTTACTTTTCATTCAAAAAATAATTAAAGTAAATGAAAATGACCAGTATATATGTGGAATAGGTCCTTATTTTATCATATGGTGTATATGGTTGATTTTATAATGAAATAATTTAAAATATATTAGTAATTAAAATTGAGCATTTATAAATACAAAAAAAAAGTGGGCTTCGTGTAGAAGGAAATACGGAATAATTTTTTTTTTTTAAAGACTAAGGGCTAATTCTCATACGTTGAAATTCAGTTCAGTTCAGCTCAGTTCAGTTCAGTTCAGCTTCTAATTTCCTTCTCTTATAAAATATTTATTTCAATTAAGTTCAGCTCAGCTCAGTTCAGTTTAGTTCAGTTCAGCTGAGTTCAGTCAATGAGAACAGACCCTAAATTGCAACAAAGGGAACACATGAACTCTAATGCGTACGTATTTAAAGGGTAAGTGAGGATGCCTGATTTATTATGTTTACCTCTAATTAGTTGGATTGTCTGAATTAATATTTCATTATCGTATACCTACTTTGTATATACATATTTTTCACCATTAATCATTGCAAACATACATGACTAGATTCACCAAGAAGTATATGGTATAGTTGGTTGGAGAAATACCTTAAAATGTTGAGGATATGGCTAATGGGTTTGATCCCTACTAGTGATTCTTGGGTAGGGCTCCTAGCCTTACATATCCATCCCCCCAATACGTAAAAGGCTAGTTTGTATAATCGTGTCGCTAGGCTTGCTTACATATGAGAGATTTGGTCTAAAAAATCATTCTTCATACCAAAAACTATAACATGTTGATTCTTGATCAATTTTTATGTCTCCTCTTGTGCTTACAAACATAAAATTTGTTAGTACCATTTAAAGGCTTCATTACGAATAGTAATGAGTTGTAACAAATTAATATTGTTATAACCCTCCATGTGTGCAAATTAATTTCATGTTAATTGGTGGTAGACTAGTATCTACTCAAACATCCAACTAGCTAGTTGACTTCCTAGTAGATATTGCATATTGTGTTATTAATTATTAGTGGAATTAAAAAGGGAGCAACGGACATAATTTGGAGAAATTGGAGGTTGTAGTCAAGGTAAGCTTTTGCTAGCCACTTAGCCAACGTGCTATGATTGAGGATGGATATATATATATATATGAAAAATTTAAGGGATCCTAAAATAAATGCTATGGAAAAGTTAATATTTGAGATCTTGTTTTCTTTGTCTCTAAAATTATACGTAACAATTAAATTTGTTATATCTCCCAAAACATATTTAAATATTACCCATAATTTAAAACAGAGTTAGAAAAAACTTATTTGATATGAGTACTCCAAATTTAGGGCTTGTTCTCATACGTTGAAATTCAGTTCAGTTCAGCTCAGTTTAGCTCAGCTCCTAATTTCCTTCTCTTATAAAATATTCATTTCAGTTTAGTTCAGCTCAGTTCAGTAAGGGTTTGTTCTCATACGTTGAAATTCAGTTCAGTTCAGTTCAGCTTTTAATTTCATTTTCTTATAAAATATTCATTTCAGTTCAGTTCAACTCCTAATTTCCTTCTCTTATAAAATATTCATTTCAGTTCAGTTCAGTTCAGTTCAGTCAATGAGAACAGACCATATTTAAATAAAAATTGATACGAGTGAGTTAATACTACTAGCATTGTAAGGATATTGGTTCTTCCATGGTAATATTTGTGTGTAATGTTTCTCATTTGCAACAATCTTTTACTTCTTTTATATTTTCCCTAGACTATTTATCGTGGTAAGTGGTAACTATGTTAATTTATGCAATTGTGTTTAGTTTCAATTTTATAGGGTCAATGTTTTTGCCATTCGTGGGCTCATGGGATTTTATACGGTTATGAATCTTATGATGGCTATGTAAGTATGTAGTATGGAGTCTATGAGCACCAATAAGTCAACACTCACTAATCAAAAAGAGAAAAAGGTTGTATTTGGGAATAGTGAGAGCTAACAAACCCCGCGAAAATGATAAGATAGCAACTTTATTTTGCAACAAGGTCTAGCATCATAATGCATTGACTTCGAAAAATATTTAATCATTGCACCCTAGCCAATTTTGTCAAAAATTATAATCTATTCTAATAAAAGAATGCAAGTCCTGTATCATTCAACAAAGCCAGCAACTTTTTTAATTTTTTTCATGTATTAGGAGTAACACAACTATACATAGTAAAATCCTCTTATCTTCTAAAAAACTCTATTCCACATAAAATAATTTTGTTACAAATTTATTCCGTAAATGAAAAATTTAATATATAGATAAACTATTACAAAGTAATTTTAATTCTCACGGCATCAACTCTTCTAATCAGAATAGAGATTTCCTTATTTTATGCCTGTTCATACTCTCTCACTTCAATGAGTTTAACTTGTACTCGTAAATTTTAATTCTCACGACATCAAATCTTCTAATTAGAATAGAGATTTCCTTAGTTTATGCCTTTTCATACTCTCTCACTTCAAATGAGTTTAACTTGTACTCTTAAGTAAGTTTTTAAGAAAGCTATTATTTCATCAAAAAATAAAGTAATCCAACTTTTATTAAATCTACTGTATAGTCTGTATTAACTTACATCTCCATAAATTTGCACACAAAATTAAAAGACATTAAATTGGAGTAAGAATAAACAGTATTCTCAACGTTTTTATTTTGTTCAAAATAAATTAATTGTACAGTAACGTAATATCCAGTTTACTCAGTATTCCAGTAATAACATTTTTTCTAATTTAATTTAACATTTTAAATGTAAATTTTTTATAAAAAAAAAATCAGATGTATGCCACGTGGAAATAATTATGGTCAGACAGGACCATCCACCGGTCCACATTAAAAACCCAGCACTACTCCTTTAATCTCTCTCTCTTTCTCTTTCCTTTTCTTTTTCTTCTTTTTTCTTTCTCTCTCCTCTTTCTTTCTCTCTAATTTCTCCAGTACGAAATCCCAACTTTATTAAATAATTTTTATTTTTCATTGTTTTTGTCTCCCTAAAATTTCCCACTAACAACTCTAATAGTAGCACTACTAGTAGTTAGAGAGAGAAAATCCCAAATTCTTCCTTTCTCTCTCCTACTTCAAAACTCATCAATGGCGTTCACACTATAACACTATAATTTATAGTTTTACAGAGAGAAAAAGAGGAAAGAGAAAAAAATAGAGAAAAATGGGTATATGTACTTCAAAACCACCGACGCAACCGTATGTTTCCGATCCAAAACCACCGGAAGAAGGAAGTAATCAACCGCCAGCGGCGAGAAATTCCGGCGAAAATCAAGCGAAGAAATCCCCGTTTTTAGGGATCTACAGTCCAAGTCCAGCTCACTACTTGTTTTCTAAGAAATCACCATTATGGTCACCTGCTACAAATGCGACTTCAAATTCAAATTCAAACTCAAGTACAAATACGCCGAAACGTTTCTTCAAACGGCCGTTTCCTCCGCCGTCGCCGGCGAAACACATAAAAGCAGTGTTAGCAAGAAGACATGGAACGGTTAAACCTAACGGTAACGGCGTCGGAGGTTCTATTCCCGAAGGAAGTGAAGGTGGTAGTGGTGGAAATGGTGTGGGTTTGGATAAACGGTTTGGATTTTCCAAGCATTTTGGGGATAAGTATGAAGTTGGTGAAGAAGTTGGACGAGGGCATTTTGGGTATACTAGGGTTGCTACTGCTAAGAAGGGTGATTTGAAGGGTCTTCAAGTCGCTGTCAAGATCATCCCTAAAGCCAAGGTTCATCCTCTCTTTATTTTTTTTTCTGCTTTTTGTTTCATATTCATTTTGAATTTGAATGTTTTTTCGTAATTTTTTTATGTTTACTTTTTATTATTTTATTTATGTTAAAAAAAAGAGCGATTAATCGATTATAATTATGTCATTATGTGTAATATTTTGATGGGTGAGTAACGGGATTTATCTGCAATTATGTTGCTAAAAGATTGGTTGAATGTTGTTGGGATTGAAGAGATCAGATCTGCTGTAAGTATAAAAAAAAATGTACTTGGTTTGTGTTTAAGTAAGGGTCATGTGAGTTTGTGATTGTGGGGATAATGGAACATGTATAACTATAAATATATATATTTGGATATCAGAAGAGTAGAATTTCTTATTATTTTAATGGTGGTAAGATCAGGTTGCTTTGTGAAGATTGTAATTTTGTTTTGGAACTTAGTTTGAGTTCCTGCACCACCATCCTATGTTTGTCTTATTTGATGGAATTCGCCTCGAGGATGAGGGTGAGGACGAAGGCGTGTGGAGTGTTTACCGGGGACTTGCCTTGAGACCGAGGAATTGTATCGATTCGTTGTTTGAACCTCGTTGTCATGAGTTCGGATGCCTAATTGCGTGTTTTTATGTGATGGTTTTTAGTTTTTTAATGAGTCGTTATGCGGCATTGTGATCATTTTGATGTATATGCTACTATGCTTGTCACCATTTGGTTTAGAATATGGTCATGGGAGGTCGTGCGATATTACTCTATGGTACTAAATTATTGGAAATAGATGGAGCCAAACTTTGTCATATTTGAAGAGGAAGGTTTAGAGTGAGAATCTCTAGAAACTTGGAATTCCATTTGCTTATTCTAATGTGGATCTTTAGAAAACTTGGAAGCTAAAACTAAAGAGGATTAAGCTGACATTAAGAATTATTTGCTTGGTATAATCAATCATCTGACGAGTAACAACTAGTGAATCGTGATGACATGATGAAGTGGAACTGTGTTTCTGGATGGATTTAATGTTTGTCGTTGCTACTAGTCTACTCTCAATTGGGTAGTTGTGTACTGCATGAACTATTAGCCATTGATGAAATATACACATAGATGTCAGTTACGGTTCTTGAATAGTCATATGACTTTAATACATTGCAAGCTGCTTTACTCTCTTGCTAATTGTTTGTTGCCTTTTTCCTTTTGCTCTATAGTCTTTTAAAGGACATCTGCATCGTTAAATTCTCTTAATTGATTTTTTCTATTAATAAAAACCTATCGTCTTTTATTCTCTCTCAATCTATATAGCGGAAAATGGAAACTGGAAATCAGTGTTAACTTTAGGATTCATATTGACCATATATATAATTCATTGTTTGTTGCAGTCATTTTATAAATTACTAATCTATAGGAAGGTGATGTTTGTGTTGAGTTTTAGCTCGTTATTTTATTATACTCCGTAATACCATTGATTAGATTTGAAAGTGCTACTGCAATTTATTAGGCAGTTTATTATGCATTGATATTCAGAATATCCAGCTGAGCATCCAAGACTTATCTGGTTGGTAATTTTATCTTTTGCACTAATTCTTTCTCATTGTATCTTTTTGTTAGATGACCACGGCTATTGCCATTGAGGATGTTAGAAGGGAGGTGAAGATCTTGAAAGGTCTGGCCGGACATCCCAATCTCATTAAAATTTACGACGCATATGAAGACAACGAAAATGTTTACATTGTGATGGAGTAAGTAGTCTTCACACTTACTTATACTATGCTTGTGTATGTTGATTCTGAGTATGAAGTCTGATGGTTTGCTACATTCCTTTATGCCATTTTGAGCTTTATGAATGCCTATTAGCTACATTGGGTTGACATATAGCCAGAAATACATGTTTGCCTTTGTAAACATCATTGTACCTGAAGGCTAAACATAATTTTGTAATGTCTGCCTTAACAAAGTCATGCTTATTAATTACCATGAGCCTATAAATGATGTTTACTGGTGATGGATGATGTTAATCTGGAGCATTATAATTTTGATGTTCTACGTGCTGAGATTTAGTTTCCATGCCATTTCAGGTTGTGTCGAGGAGGCGAGTTGCTGGATAGAATACTTTCAAGGTAATTTTTTTAAACTAATTTTTCGCAGTTCTGAAAATATCATTCTGGTCAGACAAAACACCCAATTGATGATTGTGATTTTAAATTGAAGATTTTTTCATCACATGATTTTGTAGGGGTGGGAAATACACAGAAGAAGATGCCAAGGTTGTGTTAATACAGATCTTAAACGTTGTTTCGTTCTGCCACCTGCAAGGTGTGGTACATCGAGATCTCAAGCCAGAGGTACCGAAAAACGATGTGTGCATTATAATTATTTTCTCTGTTTGCAATCACTAAGTATTCAATAAAGCATTTCACTGCGCGGTAGTGCAGTCAACTGGCTCCTTCGTGAGTTGTGAATGTTGCTAGATTGAATTGTAAGAATTGTGGCCAAGTTGCCAATTAGTTTTTTTGGTTAATGATATATTTCGTGGAACATGATAACCAATGACATCCTATAACTGTCATGTAAATATCTTCTCTATTGAGACCTGTATTCACAACTATCCTTAATTTTCAAGATTAATGCCTGTGTATATCACCACTCACCAGGTCTCTAATCAAATAGTTATATCATGTTCATTCTAACATCTGTTTGCTGTTGGATCAGAATTTCCTTTTTACATCAAAGGATGAAGATTCATCATTGAAGGCCATTGACTTCGGCTTATCAGATTTTGTGAAGCCGGGTTAGTCATTTAACTTATGTGTTTTTGCAAATGGATTGATATATGTATATGGTTGAACTATTTCTGAATTTTCATGCTAACTTTTCTGCAGATGAAAAGTTAAATGACATTGTAGGCAGTGCATATTATGTTGCACCAGAAGTTCTGCATAGATCTTATACAACAGAGGCTGATGTCTGGAGTGTGGGTGTAATTGCATATATCCTACTTTGTGGAAGCAGACCATACTGGGCTCGTACTGAGTCTGGTATCTTTAGAGCTGTTCTTAAAGCTGATCCGAGTTTTAATGAACCACCATGGCCTTCTTTGTCCCTGGAGGCGAAAGACTTTGTAAAGCGCATGTTAAACAAAGATCCAAGAAAAAGAATAACGGCAGCTCAAGCACTTTGTGAGTATATCTGCTAGATTTTCGTGGAAGCTATGCTTGCTGTTCTATGCTTCTCCTAATTACCTTCTTTTGCAGGCCATCCCTGGCTTAGAAATCAAGGACAAGTAAAAGTTCCTCTTGATGTACTCGTCTTCAAACTTCTCAAGATTTATATGCGTTCATCTTCTCTTCGCAAAGCTGCCTTGAGGGTGGGTATACTACTTAAGTTTTTCCCCTTCTTTTTATTAAAACGTTGTTATTGAGAGAAATAAGTTGTGTGGTGACTCTGGCAGAATACAATAATACACAATTTCAGCATGTTCTCTTACCAGTCTTTCCGATTGAATAAAACTTGCAATTTGCCTTCATAATCTCCTAATTGGCTTACTTTTGTGTGCAATTGTTATTTCTTTGACAGGCTCTGTCAAAAACATTGACTGTAGATGAATTGTTTTACTTAAAGGAGCAGTTTGCACTACTGCAACCTAGCAAAAATGGAACCATAAGTTTGGAAAATATTAAAGAGGTAGGCTTTTTAGAATACAAGTGTTTTTTTTCTTCTTTTTCTTTCTTTCTATTATTGTTTATTTATGATCGAAACAAATGGTTTCTGATATTACGATATGAATCATAATTTTTTCTATGGTCTGGTCAGGCCTTGTTGAAAAATGCAACAGATGCCATGAAGGAGTCTCGTGCTCATGAAATCTTAACCTCTGTAAGTGCTTTTTGGATTTGGTGGATGATACCAGCTAACATCTTCAATTTCACATTCTGACTACTGTTTGTGTCTCCTCAGTTAACGGCACTTCAGTATAGAAAAATGGATTTTGAGGAATTCTGTGCAGCCGCCTTAAGTGTCTATCAACTTGAAGCTCTTGAAAGATGGGACCAGCATGCTCGTTGTGCCTATGAACTTTTTGAGAAGGATGGTAATAGGCCCATCATGATCGAAGAGCTGGCTTCAGTAAGTCATCTATCTTTCATGTCTCAGTTGTATGGATTCATTTTCAACTCTTGTATCTCCTTTCACGGATAGATGATTGCCTGCACTTATCAAATGAAATAGATTTTTATTACCCTTTTGCTAATGACATGCTGAAATTGTCTGCTATTTCTTGCCTATTGTGACCTTGTTTATTTTTAATCTATCTTATTTCTTTATTGTGTTTTGTTCCTTCACTTGAGGCAAGTATAATAAGCATATCTGAGTGCCTAGTGTGACATGGTCTTCAGCCTTAATTCGATGTACTGAAGTATAATAAATCAAAGTCCCTTAAATTTGTGTACAAATGATGTTTCAGGAGCTTGGACTGGGACCCAACATACCGGTTCATGCTGTCCTTCATGACTGGATCCGGCATACTGATGGGAAGCTGAGCTTTCTTGGTTTTGTCAAATTGCTTCATGGAGTGTCCTCCAGGACTTTAATTAAACCTCATTGATTGCGTGCAACTATAGGTGATCTTTGTGTCTATCTTTTGTGGTGCTTCGTATTGTTGTGGTTTGTGCCTGTTGGGAGTATCAAGCAATTGCCATCATGACTCGTGCCTGGTGCTCTCGGTCTTGCAACTGATTCCAGATCTTGCCAGAGAATGAAACTTCTGTGCTAAATGAGAAACCTGTGACTGGCTGGACAGCAGAGTTGAGTGCTGATGGCCAGCTCACTACAAAATAGGTTAAATGTTTCTGACCACATAAGGAATGTAAACCTCAATCGTTGTTCAAAGCTGGGCAAAAAAATGTGATTCAATTATCGCTATATATTGTTTAGTTTTAGCCTTTGTGGGCTGGGGATGATGACCCAGAGGTTGACATATCTGGAATCTGCATTGTTTCAGTGCTCTAATTGTGAATCTAATCCTAGCATCAAAGCTATGCACAAATCATGTTTTAGGCTGTCAAAAGTTAAATGAAAGAGGGTGCTGCTTTATATATACTACGTATTTTTTTGCTTATATATTTTCCGCTTGTTCCTTTCATTTAAACTGGTTGTTAATATAGTGCTAGGAATTTGCATGTTCTGGTATCAGTTCATCTTCCGATGATATAATCCACTGTATCTGTAAAAATCTCGAAGGCTCGAGCTGTCACATTCATAGAATCTTAGTCTGGTATAGTGAATACAAAGCAGGCCTGCTACCTTGCATGCCATTTGCCTATTGCTACCTTATACCAATGTAAGTTTCAGTCATCATTAGACGGAGCTTATATATATAAAAAAAAAAATGACAGAGAAAAAAAAAGCTTAAACTTCAAACATTAATAAGGAGCATATCAAAGTGAAAATTGTGATAAACCTCTTCTTTTTTGGAAAAATAATTGTGTTAAACTTCAATAAATTAAATCGGAAAATTTTCTCAATTAAGGTCACCACATGGGAAAAAGAAGGCTCCTGTGGTTAGAGCTTTTCTCCTGGAGAAAACTTAATTCACCCACTAGGTAGTCTACTCATGTGAGTTGGCAAATAATGTGGCATTTCTTATAATATGTGGCATGTACATGTCATTGAAAGGAATCAAAACACAATTAATGCTTTGTTGGAGGAAAGAGGATAATATTTTGGTATTTGTGGCTTTTGTTGTTCCTTCTCTCCCAATGACTGATTTTACCTCATCAAGCTACTAAACTAATGATTCAACAGGTTGCATGGTGAATAACTAAGAATCCCTTGGCACCATTAATTTTCATTCTTAATTATATATATTTTTATTATTTTATTTTTTTTGAGAAAGTTTAATTGGTAGACTTGGCCTACCCCTTTATTGTACTAGTGGAGACAACTCTATTTATATGACCATGACTTAGAAAGGTATTTCTTATATGATCAACTTTGTTTCTTATGATAATATTAATTTCTATTATTAGTTGATACATAATTGAAGTATATTCAAGAATGAAGTTCTATCAATTGTTCTTCGGGTGCTTTTGGGAGGAACATTTGTTATATTTATTCTTATCAAGATACATCTGTTAATATTAATTCTTATAAAGATACATTTGTTAAGGAACAGTGCTTCGGGTTCTTCACATCTTCAAAATATTTGAATAGAGAGTACCTCCTCCGGAGTTTTTAAAATAGAGGATACGAGTACAACGTATAATATATTCTTAAAATTATATCTTATGAAATTTTCAATAAAATTTGTTATGAAATGTAATAGTAAAAAAATGTTAAAAATTTAATAATTACTTGATACTCATAAGAGTATTATTGTACGAATGCATATTACGCGAAATAACCAAGCATTAAGATAAGGTATAACATCCAATAACATACGATTATAAAAAACGGTATATACTAGTATGCTACTACTCCGTACCTTATTTAAGGAAAAAAGGGTGAACCTTCATAGCAAAGAAAACTTTATGTCATGATTGCTTATGTTATGAATATGAAAAATTGTTTATATTTCATCATACATAAAGTTGTTTCATGCATAATTATTAAAACATAGGGCATGTTCACATTAACTGAACTGAGCTGAATTGAACTTATTGGAGTTGAACTTGAACTGATTGGAGCTGAAGTGCTAAACTGAACTGAGCTAAAATGAATATTTTATGCGAGAAGGAAATACGGAGCTGAACTGAACTGAACTGAACTAAATTGATTGATTGGAGCTGAACTAAACTGAACTGAAATTAAGTATCTGTGAACAGACCCATAATTTTGTTAGATACATTAAATATACTAACATTTAGGTTTAACAGAGGGAGTACAATATAACAAAATTGAATTAGAAGGGGACGTGATGATGAAGTTTAATAGAGGGAGTACGACAATATAACAAGCAATTAACTTAACCAAGATTTTGGGTGTGTTCTATTTTCTTTAATTTCACTTTTCTGGATTTATCTGAACTTAACTGAACTTATTTGAAATGAATTGAATTGATTTCATCTGAACTTTTTTGAATTTAGGGCATGTTCACTTCAGGTTAATTTCAGTTCAGCTCCAATCGGTTCAGTTCAATATAGTTCAATTTAACTTATATCCTAATTTCCTTTTCTCATAAACTATTCATTTCAACTCTATTCAGTTTAGTTCATCTCCAAACAGTTCAGTTCAGCTGCATATGATCCAAATTTATCATGTTTGTTAGAATCTGAATTTGAATATTGTTACAATCGAATGTTTTTATCGAAGGTTCTTATGAATCCATGGCACCTATATATGATCTGACTTTCAATAGCATCAAAATTTTAGATCATGCAAAACTCGAATTGCCAAATTGAAGCTTCAGTTAAGTTTGACTTGAGCTCGAATAATCCTAATCAAACCTAGGTCAAAGAACTTAACATGTGCTTGGTTAGATGTCAATCTAGCTAAATTATGTCATGGGATGCAATCATATGATTGACTTGGTAATTAAAGACCAAAATCCAAAAGTATGATACAAATCTAAACCAAATACAGATCCAATTAGTAATTTTGATGAGTAGATCCAAATCGGATTATAATTCGAAGTAAGTCAGATGAACTGTTTTCAAAATTAGGATCCGATTAGACTCGATTTTTCCAAATCCAATCATTGTTCAGGTAAGATTGGAATTGGTCTAAATAAAAACCGAACGATTTCAAACATAAATGCATTTTATATCTCGTGTTGTTATCTAGATTATATATTCTAATGTTACATTTTACTATTTTTTTATATTTTAAACTAACCTTCCTTTATGTATTTTCCCAGCTTTATATCAATGAATTTCATCGGTATACTACTAATTTCATCTTTTAGTTTGAACAAATTTAAACGCAGTTTGTTTAATTATTTATGTTATAATCACTTTAACTTAACATGTATTGATAAACTATTACATTTTTCCAAAATCCCAGTTCATATGCTAAATTTTATTTTTTCTCATTTTTATTATCTTCATTTTTCAGTTAGAACAAATCTACGTGTAAAAAAAAAAAGTTAGAACAAACTAAAAGCATTTTCTTTCATTATTTACAAAAATCAGTTTTTTTTTAAAGTAATTAAAAAATAATCACTTTACCTTAATATTTAATGTGATTTTATTTTTTTTGCCATTTCATGTGCTTAATTTCCCCCCCCCCCCCATTTTTATTAGTTTCATCTTCCATTTTGAACAAATTTAAACACACTTGATAAAATTTTTGTTTCCCATTTGATATGTTATTTTTTTTTAACGACCTGTATATGATATTATTTAGTATTTTGTTTATTTTTTTTAAAGGGTGTATTTAGTTTAATTTCCTAAAAAAGTCAAACCTTGTATTTAAAAAAAAACGAAAAAAAATTAAAAAAAAAATTAAAAAAAAATCCATTCATGTAATTATGTCGCAACCATATAGAAAAGAAAACCAAAATTACACTACATATTTTTTTTAGAGTAAAACAGTTATACCCCATTTATTCAAAATTTATCTCAAAAAAAAAATTATAAATATAATAATAAAAAAACAAACAGACGATTGACCCCTTCCCAATGTTTCTTAGATATAATGGAGTTTTTTGGAAAACTTGAAAAAACTTTTGGTATCCACCTCTGTACAATTCCCAGATGAAATCAAATATTGAAAAACAAGAGAAGACACTTCATATTCCACTATTACTTTGAATCTAGTCTTTGATAATTTCCTTTAACACTACCGTGGTGAGTTTCCATTCCCCGCTACTTTTGTCAAATGTAGCTGTAATTTTAGCTTTACAACCGGTAACTTCACTTCGTGTAGGCTTTGATGGATCCTTCCCCCTAGGAACAAACTTTCCTTCTTTCTTACATACTAGCCTCAACCTTTTGCAATCATACTTATTACCACATTCAGTACCTTTGACATTTTCTCTACTTCTGATTTTCATTTGGAACCCATTTTGTTTTCCAAATTCATGATAATACCCAATGACATCTTCATAAGACGCAAAAATCATCCCTACATTTGGAGGAGCAAGTTTTTCTAGCATAGGATGACTTTCATTAGTTCCATTTGCATCATCATCATCCCTCAACACATCATTCACTTCGTCACAAATAAAATCCGGTTCCGAATTAATATCAAAGTCCATATCGGAACTATCGTAGTCACTGTCTTCATCTTGATACTCCATATTAAGATCTATTGTGGATGGTACTACTTTAGCAATACCACTCTCATCCATTTTCAAATTTCTGCATACAATATATATTATAATTAGTCAATCATTATTAAAGGGAGAAATTGAAAAAAAAAATCATATTTTTTTAAAAAAAAATAATGAATCTGTTTACTTGAATAATATTTCAACAGTCAAAGACTTTTCTTTTTGGTAAAAAATTCTAAGCTACACGTTATTATTCTTATAATTTTTTTTTTGTTTGTTTTTTTTTTTGGCAAATGAGGGATACATCCAAAAATAAAAGAAAACAAAATAGAACAACCTAAAAGTCTAAGCAGGGGGTTTGACATATGAGACAAGGGAATTGAAAGTTATTCTTATAATATTTAGTTTTCATGATAATACTTATCTTCTATTATTTGCTTTTATCATGTAGATATTTTAAGAATTTGTTTCCTATTATCTTGTTCAATAATATAGCTATATGTTTATTCCCTCAAAAAAAAAAAATTTAGGGCTTGTTTGGCATTGTTTTTGTTTTGAGTTTTCAACAAGAAACAAGAATAAGGTGTTTTCACTTTTCTGTTGTCAGTTTTCAAAATTAGCATGATTTTAATAAGTTTGACTAATTTTTTATTCATTACATTACATATATCATACACTTTTAAAATACAAAAAACCAAAAAATGAAAACCGCAACAATGCCAAACGAACCCGTAGTTATATGTTTTTTTTATTGTTTGATTAAAAAAAATCGTTTCACATAAAAAAATCGTTTACAATGTTTTCAAATATCATAAATAAAATGTTATAGAATAACTATCAAATAACTATCAAATAAAAAAAATAACTATCAAATAACTGATTTTTTAAACTAGTATTATTTTGATTAAAATTAAAATATTGACTATAAAAAAAATCGTTCTTAATAATTTAAGTTATCACATAAGTATATGATATAAACTATATCTGCTTTCAAGAAGATTATTTCATACCACAACAAATTGATAGATTATGACATAAAAAATATTTTACTAACCTGTGATAAACTCCTTTAATATTGTTATCGGAAGGACATCATCACTTGAAGCCAAATTACAGAATAATTGTTTTGATTGAAGCTTGTATAATTATGGAGTATATTTTTTTGATAACGAAAATCATGCAAGACTTTGTCAATAAAGAAGAATAGTTAGCACCTTACTCATGAAGAATGCAAATGGTCTTTTTTAAAAAAAATAAAAAATAAAAATAAAAATTATTTAGTGTTGTACAGTAAATTAAAACTTCACTTTAATGATTTAGATTTAGAAAATTGGAATGCATTAAATATGTTGTCTAGTTCCTTGTATTATGCTTATTGGAAAATTAAATTGCATTATTAATGATTTTATGGTGTTAAAAGTGGGTCAAATAAACAGTTTTTATTACACATCATTGCCACATCAGTTCCACATCAACCGGGTAAACTACCTAGTGGGTAGGTGTATCCATGCCCTTTTCTCCAGGGGCAAATGATGAGAATTAATCTCTAATTCCGCTGAAATGGAGAAGAAACTTTAAACACTTAAGATATTTTTCACTCCGTGTATAATAAATTTAATGAGATGTGACTTACATCACGCCTATAATTCTCTCCTAGACTCCTACGCCGTATAAAAAATTTTCGGGTACGATGCTTTCAAATGAGTCCAGTTTATATATGTCCATCTCAAGTCCTGAAATCCATCAGATTCCTTCGCGGGCTAAAGAATTGGGTCCCGCCTGTAAAAGTGTAACCTATAAAATACGCCCCTAAAACCATAGGAGAGAGAAACAACCAAGTGTACTCTTCATTCTAAACGAAACCCTTTTTTATCTCCGATTCACCGGAATTCCATTCATTCCGCTCTATTTTCCCTCTCTTTCTCTCTCTATAATGCTATAGTATCTGCAATGACAAGCAACAAAGGAAAGAATTTCTTGATTAATCTTTCTTCATCTTCTTCTTCCGACGATAATGGCGACGATGACGACACCGCCTCCGATTCTGCTTCATCTTCTAGGTATAACGATTTTCGCCTTTTTTTTATTTTTATTTTGAAAATGATAAATTATTTGCTGAATTTGAAGATATTTTGTGTTCAATTTATTGCTAGCTGTTGATTTTGATTGATTTTTGGTGATAATTTGGAAGAATGACAAGTTTGAATTTGATTCAGCGGAGATGAATGTGAATTGATTGATGATGACGATGATTACGAGATTGAAGATGATGAATCTGAGGAAGATGATTGCTTAAAAGATGACTTCCGTGGAACTGAAGATGATGATCATTGTCTCTCTAATCGAGTCATTCAGTTTCTTCAAGGTTTTTAGTACTGTTCTTTTCTGCTATTTTTGGTTTTTAAATTAGCTGTTTATCTAGTTTCTTCGTTGCCGCATTTTAGTGAAAGTAGATATAAACTTGCCTGCACTACTTTTGGATTAATTTTTGTTTTTGTTTTCTAAGATGTTTTAATTTGATTATTGAAGAATTTTGTGACAAATTGATGATAATTAGTAATTACATATCAGTTCAACAATATATGAAGCTGTATATACTATATACTTTCCTCAGGTATTAGTGTTACTCGTGGTTTATTTCGAGTTACAGAAATGTAATTGAGGATCATAATATACAAGGTTGTGATGAATTTGCTATTCATTTTTGTAATTTTGAGAAGGTTAGCTAGAAGATGAAAGATTTGGCTGTCGGCTTATTGACTTTGCTTAGATTCTAGGTTCACAGATAGTAGTTAGGGTAGGCTGAATCCTATTTAGGCTTGTGGTGAAAGAAAATGAGGCAATAGCTAATTCCATTTTTGTTCAATTCAACATTTCTATAATACTACGTATAATTCTTTTCATATTTAGTTATCTAATTTAGTTTCACTCTTTATAACGTTTATAAATAATGCTAGCAAAATGCAAATGATAAGTTTGGCTTTGTGAAATATTTTATACATGTTGATGTTCTCCATAAATTGCGCTTGTGTTTATGTTCATTGTCACCTTGCAATATTTGAGAAGTCAATAAAGAGCCTTTCTTCTAAGGAACTTTCCAATGCAGAATTGTAATTTGTATATTTACTAGATAGTCTTTTTTGGTCAATCAGGAAGACGTGATTTGCAAGAGTTAAGTCTTAAAGCATGCAAAGCATATTTGAGAAGACATGATCTTAGACTATCAGGGAACAAGGACGAGTGTATTCGTAGGGTGCAAGAGCACCATAGGTAGGTTCTTTTTGTAGTAATTTATTACCTAGCTGTTTTTGTTTTGATGGATTCTCACCTGTTATATAGAGTGAGAACTGAAGTTAAACTATTTCATATACAGGATAAAAGACGGGAAAGCTGAAATTCTCTACCCAAGCTCATCCTTTGTCATCAATTGCACAGGTATGATTAATTTTCCCACCAAAATCTCTTTCTTTTCCTCTGTTAACTTCAATTGTTCTTGCTACCTACAAATTATATTTCATATTTTAATACTTTTTTGTGGAAATTGGTCTGAGGAGCAGGTGATGTCTGCAAGGGAGATACTGTCCTCTTCAAACAAAAAGTGTATGGAAGGTATCATTCTCATCCTTGTGAAGTTTTTTTTTATTATGTTTTCTTGGGATCCTTTTTCATTTCTGGTGGACAATGCTTCTCCACTTCTCCTTTCGTTTTTCCTTTTTTTTATTGGGGGTAGGGGAGAGTGATTATGTAGTCATCATATCTTGCTGCAAGAGTCTGTTATAGAAAGTTGGAAACTAGTTGGTTGTGTATGAATTATATAATGCTATTTGGCCCCAAAATTTGAAACAAAACGTAGTGAATTTTACTTCTGATGTGAAAGAATTGTACCTGGTTTTTTTTCCTTTCTTCTTGTTTCTTTTTGCTTTTCCAACCTTTTACTTGTGTCTTTATAAAATGGAATTCTCATCCAAAGAAGTTTTGACAAAGTGACAAGACAAGGTAAACTTTTGGGGAAAAGAACAGTTGCTGGACGAGTCGTGAAAGAAAGCTATGGTGCAGCCAAGCAACAACATACATTCACAGTAAGCATATCCTTGGTATTTATTTCTATTCAGCCTATGTAATGTATAACTCTAAATTAGTTAACTGTAAAGCACAAAATCTACCTGTAAATTCCAGACATGGACTAACAGCAGTAGCCTAGATGTGTAATGAATTAATGACTATAATATAAAGATTTCTTTATTGTTAATGTATGAAGCTTATTTTGTTCCAATCTAAAATCTTTTTATCTTCTAGGTTGAGGTACTATGGAGCAAGGGAATAAAGAAACTGCCTTCTCTCTTTCCTTTGCTTGTCAAGGGCCGAAATCTCTATAGATTGAAGACCTGCAGGCAGGTAAATCCCTGTTTTTCTTTGCATATGCTCTAATAATTGTAATTTATTGATTTTCATAAATGTCAAAACCTTATAGCCATGGAAGAACGAGGGAGAAAGAAGAAAAGTTCTTGCAGAAAAGCATAGACGAGGAACAGCTGCACGATATAAGAGAGCAAAGAGGAAGAATGCTTTATCTACTGATAAAGGTTTGAATGACTAAAAGCCCTTCGCCCCTTATGCTTGTTTCTGTAGAAATATCTGTAACAACTAACAAGTGTCAATTTCTCCAAAATATGGTCTCAAACAAAGCCTATCTAAATGTCTGTTAGGAGGGAAATCTCGGAAGGTTTCTCATCGTGGAAGATCTTCTCAGTTGAATTATCCTAAAGGAGGCAAACATTTTGGTGCAGAGCAGGGGGACTCATCTTCAAAAAACCACCATTACACTAATCTACAGCGGAATGTGAAACAAGGAGCTGTAGTAAACTCTAACAGAGAAAAAAATTTCAAACCTTTCGGGGACCCTCAAAAGCTAGTATCCCGGGACAACAGGGCTTCTACATTGCATTCATTTCATGGTGCTTCTCAAAGTTATTCTGAATCTCTTGTGGGACCTCATAGGAGTTCTCCATTTGGCTTAAATTCTGCAGCTTTCCTGAGTGATATCCCTTATCATTACACAAGGGTGATGCCCGCAGCACAAAATAGTGATTTCAGTCATAGCTCCTTTTGTAATTCTTATGACATTCAATTACCACGGGTGAATCTAGTGGACTCGAGGCAGTTTTTCCCTTCAGGGGCTACACTTGGACAAAGGATGATTGGTCTTGTGAACTGCTCAATTCATGGATGTCATGAACCAGGATCTAATAGATGTGTCATTTCTGCATGTTGGAGGTGTTGTCAAAGGGTGGGAATGGTGTGCAATGTCCATAGATGACAACCGATTCTTTGGTGTTCTTTATCCATATGCGTATAGAAACTCTCATCCCTGGTTGGTGCTATCTTATGATATTACTATAACAGAAACTTTGTTTTTGCTGAATTTAATTTTTTATTTTTAAAAATAATTTTCCTTTCCATAATACCTCTGTTTATGAATAATAATTTTGATAAACACATTATATTGGAGGTGGGGTGTGAAGAGTGACTATCTGGCTTTGTGGACGAAAAAGGAGTGTAAGAGTTTGCATGAGAGGTGGGAAAAGGATTGCCAAAATAGTAATAAAGTAAAAGTATAACCAAGTTACCAACCAGTAATATATTAAAATGGAATGTGTAACAATCATTTAGGTATGAAGTAGAATCTAGCCTCAAAATTTTTGCCTAGTTTAGAGGGCAATAATTTTTAGTTAATAAGTTCCTAGTTTAGTCTTTGTGTAGAGCATAATGCTTTAATATGATACTCCGTTTAAAATGATTAGTTGTATATTCTCTGATAGCCTGTCTTCTAGAAGTTGTCTTCTTTCCTAAACTAACCGTGACAGGTTTTCCCTAAATAGGTCTTTAAAAATTATTGTGTCATATCTATGTTTACAAGGGGTTGGAATAACATGACAAATTTTTTCAGACGGGGAGCTACTATTTTGTTCTTCCTCTGATTTATGATTAATAAAGGAGAAGAGATGCATTAGTAAAGCTAACCGAACCCATAATTCCAGTATTTCCCCTGTCAAAAAAAGTTTTTGCTGGAATTCATGCTGGAAAGCCTGTTAATTAGTTGTTCAGGTTATATAATGTTTTCGTTTCATGTTTTAAACTCCTTTTATTACATTGTGGGATTCTTGTTTTTAATCCAGATGCCAACTATGAGGCCTTATCAATGTTAATGATGTTGCAAGGTGTCCTGTTTTTTCGATATACAGAATAGTCTTCACCAAAAATACTAAAACTTGGCCAGCAAATTGGTTTCAAGGTCTTCCATCTTATTGATGATAAATAGGATTGAGCTACTACTGATCTTATTAATTGGGCAAAGAAATTGGGTCTATTGTCTAAGAAATGGAAATCAAGCTTATACTTCATTGAAAGCCTTTTTCATATTTTTGTTTGCTGTTACTGCATCTTTTTCACTCCAAGATAAGAATCACAACTCCATCCTTTGATTGTATCTCTTTCTACTGCAGGTGCATGCTTCATGTCTAGCCCTATTGTTGAGATGCATGGGAGTTGGACTCTTCATATCTACAGAGCTTATGTCTGAGGATTTACTTATGCGTGGGCCTTTTTGTCAATTTGCTGAATGCTTTTCATCATCGACCTGGTATGTTTTTTTGGATTATACTAGCATGACAATATGACATACTGTTTGTTGTCTTTATGTTATTTCATTGACAAAATTCAGAAGAACAATGCTAAACTAATCTATGTATGGGTATTTAGTTATTTTTGCACATGCTTTTATTTAGTCAAAAGGAGAAAATAGCTCAAGCAATATCTTTTTACGCGTTTGTTGCTGCTAGGTATATATTTGTTGAGGGTTATAAAGCTTTTGTCGACCTATTCATCTCCTTCTAGAATAGCTATGTTACAGACTTACAGAAAATGGCCCTTCAAATGGAAATATGACTAGAGGTGGTTCTCACCGAGCTCAGTCTGCTCACCAATAAAGCTTTTGTTAATCTCTGAGTTTGACCATTTAGAGTCGTTTTTGCTTGTCCATCCTGTGCATTACCTGACTATAGTTAACATTTTAAGTAAGAACACCACTGTTAAAAAGAATTTAGAATTATTGGTGAGCAGACAATTAACATCATGTCGTGTCCACTACTTTTTGAGATGTTTCATAATTGGATATTTGATGTGAAAGTGTTGGAAACACAGAACTTGAATTTGTTGCCGTATCACCGTATGCACATGATAGGGCTAAGTCCCCACTAAATGACGGCCTTGGACCTTTCATAGAAATATCACCTTCTGACTCATTTCTAAACTTCCCTTTTTGACCGGACTACATGGTACCTTAACCTCCATCCATTCACTTTCCAATAACAACAATTCGACCTTCTGAAGGATACTGGAGTGAATTTTCTTGTCAGACAGAGAAAAGAAATTGGTGGGGCCGTTAAGCTTTAATTAGGCTACAATAAGTTTGTGTCCTCTATTACAACACGAAGTCTCCTTATCTTCCATGCAACTCTTGCCCCCATTGTATGCTCCATTTTCACTCTTTGTTCCACTGTTTTAGCTAGATCCTTATTTTTAGGGCCAATAGACTTTACTAGATTCGCCTTCTCAATTATTATAGTTGCCTAAGGCTTTAACGTGGCATTTTAAGACATAATGATTCAGAAAGCACTTGCCGATGCCAACAACCTAGGGGTAAATTAGGGAAAAAACTTCCAACCAGTTTAGTTTGTAGTTAACCAAAGTTCTCTTAGTCTATTGGCAGTATGTTCCCTCCTTAGACTCAGCCCAAGTCATCAACATTTGTTGTCAAGAGAAGTGCTGGGTATGCAACAGGTTGGTCTGGTTTTCAGCCTCTTGTTTGGGATAGAATTCTGGCATAGCTGTTTAGGGTTAAGGCGCATAGGACGGGATAAGGGATGTGCTTCTTTACCTATAATATGTATGGAGAAATTAGTTTGTCATTCACAATCACTGGTAAACCAAGCTACATAACTTGGATATATAATCAAGAAAAATGTTCACATATCAACATTTAGAAACTATAATTAATTGTGCATATTGGACATGCATACAAAATCTTCCACCAAAGAAGACAGCTAAAACATATACACACAATTTAAACATAAAAATACTAATCAAAGCATTTCTTATCCATCCACGTTTGTCATCATGGTTTCAACTCAAGATTTGGCATTATGCAGATTTTAGATATCACTCCTTTTTTGTTTAGCTTCTTCAAATTAACACAATGCCAAACTATGATTTGAACCTTAATGGTTGCCAGATGACTGACTATTGATGACAAAAAAGTCCTAGCATCCCCTTTTTCTGGATCTACCACTCCGTCTATCCCTTGTCGAAAAAGTAAACATTGTATGGACATAAAAATTGGGTAAAACATACTAGTTGCATGAATGGTGCGAGGACTGGTTTGGTGCTAGAAGAACCTAAATGTAGTGGAGGGACGAAGGTCAATCTCTTGTGTCCAAGCTGAACGATCTTGTAGATGTAAGTGCCAATAGGTTTGAGCTAGAGCATCGGGGTCCATCAAGCCGTCTGCTGCCACTCCTACTCCACTTTGTTGCTCCCCTACATTTGTTCTCTGCAATATACTTGGTACCCTGCATAATTTTCCACCAACCTCATAATCTATCGAATCTACAGAGCCATCAATAAGATTCAACTAGTGAATTGATGCTCCCTAATTTGTTGTATAGATCATGCTGCCTCAGATTAACACTCAAGCTTATTTGATTTGCATCGTTTCTGCTGAACACACACCCATACATCTAATACTCTTTGGATTAATCTACATGTTTTTTTAAACACTGTAAATTTTTCCTGGAGTCAACAAATGTACTAATCGAAGAATATTGGCCTTAGCTTGCGATATTATATTTTGAGTTTTGCTGTTGGGAAATTTAATGAAATATTTTTAAGTGTGAGAGTAGAGGTTTTCTTCATCTTGTACCCTTTGGTTTATTTTGGCTGTGTTTGATTCTTAAGAAAACATTTTGATTTGAATTTCAGTTTCATGGAAACCGCCTTTCATTCTCTTTGTTTAGTTCACTTCTAGCAAAGTTAGGGAGGGATGAGGAGAAGAGAGGATTAGAAGATAGAATGGGATGGAGAGAAAAATTGGCCATTCTTACCATAAATTCTCTTAATTAACGGAAAATCTAATAATCTAAAAATAGGTTGATATATACGAGGATGACATGCTCTTAGTATATTAAAACCCCCATAAAATATTACCAAAAATAATCGAGACTGGAGTGAAAGTCTGAGCTTGAGATCCTATTGAAATGGATGAAGAGTTAGGGGTACAAGTCACACTACTTACCTTGGTGCTCCGACCAAGCCATCAATAATAACATGAGCAACATGAATTCCCAATGACTGAAATTCCCTTGCCAGACATTGTGATAATCCTCTTAGCGCAAACTTCCCACAACCTTTATTTAAACAAAAAAATTCATGGAACATTTATGAACTATACATGCAATTTAATATTCTTAATTAGTGATTGTATCAATCAAATATTCCAAATCTTAATTAGCAAGGATTTATTATAATACATACATAATTCTGAGAAGCCAGACATGCCATTGAGAGAAGCTGAACATCCGGTGAAGAGTATTGTCCCTCTTCCTCTCTCCACCATACCCGGAAGAATCTAACCCATGCCCGCAAGTAGTTTTAATTAATCTTCACATTTATTTAAAATCTAGATAGAGAGAGGAAGCGAGAGGAAGGAGGAGATTTAAATCAAGTTTTTGTGAGGTTTACCTGCTGAGCACAATGGAAGTCACCAACAGATGAAACTGCGAGTGATTTTTCAAAAGAATTGACTGGAATTCCAGTGAAATTGGCTGGATGCAAAGGAAGGGGTTGGTATGCAGCATTGTAGACCAACACTTCAACATATCCAAGAGAGAGAACCCCTTCAAAAGCTTCACTAATGCTTCTCGTATCCGAGCAGTCAATTCTTATTGCAAAGACTTGAGCTTTCTCTTCCCTTGCTATCTCTTCTGCAATTCTTGATAGCCTCCCTGAGCCAAAACCACAGAAAACCAATAATTTCTGAAGGTTTATTAGGAGGAACCTGGAAAAAAAAAGCAAAAGAATTGAATGAAAGCGAACAAGATATATAATAATTGAAAATAAATAGGTTGCCTGCCTAAATCCCTGGAGAGGATAGCAACTGTGTAGCCTTCATGAGCAAACTTTCGGGCAATGGATCTTCCAAGTTTCGGTCCTACTCCAACAATGGCAGCAATGCCTTTGGAGTTTGTTGAGGAGAAACTGCTTGAGTTTTGCATCTCCTTTTCTGCCAAATTATCTGCCCTAAGAACTGTTAAGGAATGAAGCTAGGAAAGTTTGGGGAGAGGAGTAGGGGGAGGAGGTTATTACTTGTAGCAAAAACTAGCATTATTACCTTTCCATTCTCTATCAAATTCTTGTTTGACTTTCTCTGATCAATGATTTTTTATTAATTAATGTTTGAAAAGTATAAACATTATTGTTTTTGTTTAGAAAAACACTTTAATAAAGAGATAAATAAAAAAAATTATCAGAATTACAACAGTAAGAGCTCTATGTTGGACATTGCTAAAGTAAATTAGAAATTTTATTATAGAACGAAGGGAGTAATATCTAGAAGATACGATGAAGAAGACATGTAGAACCCGACGGAAGTTGTTTGTCGGTGTTATAGCTTGCCTCCTCCAGACAGACTTGTTAGTTCTCCAATTATTTCCTGTAGTTTTGGAGTTGACGTATATGTTTAATCTTCTTGCAGTTCCGATGTACTGAAGGGTAGCTCTATTTTTTCCCTTCTCAAAACCCCAGATTTATTCTGTTGACATGAGATCCATATTCTTTTGGTGGAATCATCATTTTTTGGTCTGCTAAATTTTGATACTCCCACCTCTTTCGTACCAGTTACCAAGCTGCTTAGTTATGGACTTATGGTGGTGAATTGTCATAGGTGTGGCCCCTCTCTTTAGTGTTTGATAAAGATAAGCCATTTTATACTTTTTATCAGCTTATTTGGTCCAAAAAAGGAAAAGAAAAGGAAAAAAAAATGTAATTCCACTGTTTTTTCTTGGTCTTTGTGCACATGATGAGTACATTAAATGATTGGTCCGTTATTTATACACGTCAGGGTCCATACAGCAAATCCAAGTTATGGTAATGTTTTGTTGTATAGTAATTTTGGTGGGAAATCATTTTCAGTACACCCCACTTATAGGAACTTCCATGTTAAGCTCATTTTTATTTAGTTTTTACCTTGTTTTTGAATTGTACTCTAGGGATCTAATATACTCCCTCCGTCTCATAATATAGTTCTTGTTTCCTTATTTTGGAGATAAAAAATAATTTTTTTTTTTTTGGGATAGTATGTAAAGACTATTTCTTAAATACCGTTATATTATAGGACGGAGGGAGTATAACATTATCAGAATTTAGAAATTAGAATCAGTTAATATTTCTGCAATTGAGTTCTAGCATTTAGTTTCTTTCTCTAGAGGTTTCGATGCCTTTTCACCCTTTTAACCTTGTGTATAAGGCGGTGTGGACCCTATATTAGAGGCTAGGAATAACATAACTGGGGTGCATTCAACAATGTACTCCAAATAGATGGTGGTGAAGTGTTCTTCTCACCCTACCTTTATCCTCTAGCTAGTATTGCCACTAAGGCAAGTTGTAAATTGGATATTAAAAGTTTCTTATTTTGTCTACTTGACTGCCATATCAAGCCAATGAAATCATTATGATATGATATGATATGCTTCTGGCAGCATTGAACTAGTTGTACCATATCTATTTTTTAGTGTAAATTAATCTCAACATTTATGTTATATTAGAGGGTCGAGCAGCCGAATGTGTTTACAAACTTCTTAAATTTTATTCAACTTTTAGCATCATATAGAATGCTAGAACTTACATGTAAAAGCCACAAGGAATAAAGAATTTGGAATCAGTAAAGCGGCAAATTGAATGCTAGAATCATGCCAGTTGCTAATCTCGAGCTACACGGGCTTGATGGTGTTCCTCATATGCCTAGCTAGCTACACAATAATATTTATGGACAAGTTTGCATGTTTTATTTTTTTTATTTTATATATTAAGAACTAGAAGCTTGCCATTTGCTAGTCTATACAGTGACACGGGCAACTTACAGTTCTTTCTATGCCTAAGTACGCTATGTGCGTGGGTTAGTGCTTATTCTCTTTATAGTAAACTTTTCCTTTCCAGATGAGCATATTCTTTTGCATACATGATTGTATGATAGACAAATAAAAACTGAAGTCAGGCATATACAGATCCTGGAAAAGTAGACCTTATAATTATTGATTCTAGTATTGAAAATTAGCTTAACATGTTATTAGTAATTGAAGGTAGTTGTAAGATGTATATTTGGCAACATATTGAAGTAAGTCTGGTAAAACTAGCGGTTTAAATGCTTGAATTTGTTGCATGAGGTAGGATTTGTATTCTCTCTTTTTTTGGGTGCTTCGCTTAGTATGGAAGAATTATCTGCGCCCCCAAGGAAATACACTTGGTGTCATTGTAAAAACTTGCAACTCGTCTGTATAACTCGCCTTCTGCTGTGATATAAATGATTTAGATGTAAAAACTCAAGTAAAGAAAAATAATTACTAAAAAATCCGGCCTTGAGATTGATGTATCATTTGATTCATTTCATTTTCACTGAAATGATATGTACACTATCTTAAGGTTTTCTAAACCATTCTCAGGTGCTTATTTTGTTGATAAGGGTATTAAATTCCTTTAGGAATCCATAACTAAACAGTTACTCAGGCTTCGTTTGTTTTGGTGGAAAATATTTTTCTTCATTTTCCTTTGTTTCGTTAAAGATGGAAAATGATTTTTCCAAAGGTGGAAAGCTACTTTTTGGGAAAAAAATATGCTTATTGTCCTCTTTAGGGCCTGTTCTCATTGACTGAAATGAGCTGAACAAAACTGAACTTATTAGAGCTGAACATAACCGAACTTATCAGAGCTGAACTGAACTGAACTGAAATGAATATTTTATGAGAGAAGGAAATTAGGAGCGAAGCGGAGCTGAACTGAACTGAACTAAACTTATTAGAGCTGAACTAAACTAAACTGAAAATAATCTGATGAGAACATGCCCTTACTCTTCACTTCTTTAATTAGTTTCTCTTCTTTATCCTTCCCCTCCTTTTAGTTCCATTTCTGTTTTTTCATATATTTTCCTATAATCAAACAAATAAGAAAAACTAATTTTACAATCATGTTTTTCTGTAGAAAATGAGTCTTTATATTCAGGTAAAGTGTTTTCAGATTAAACAAACGGAGCCTAAATAAGTGTGCATTTATGTAGTATTGCGTATTAAACTACGAAGTATGAGTTTGTTTGGTTTCTCAAGCGATTTGGAAAGATTTGTAGTTGGTGGGAAGCAAATAATTAATTAGGTTATGGCATTAAATTTGATGATTAAGCAAATAGCAAAGGAAGGCATGAGATGGACCATGGATATACATGCGCTGACCAATGAGAACTAATTTAGGGTCATTCTGTCAAGAAAAGCGGAAGATCTAAGATTGTTGCTCCTCCCTTTTATCTGGTCCCATACTCCAATCATTGGTTAATTGAACAAGTGTGTGTGTCAATTTGCCAAATTGCCAGCTAAAAGATCATATCCCCTTCACTCTCACATTACTGTAGCATATTTTTTTGGGACCCTTTGATTTAATGCTTATTGGAATTGCTGGGATTAAATTTTTTTCTAGTTTTTTTTTTTCTTTTTTTTTTTGACAGTAAATTTTACGTAGTAGTGTAGTACGAAGTACACGTAATAACAAATCTTATTCTGTAGTAAAATGATTACTACTGAATTTTTTACTAATATATATTAGAAATATAAATGGTTAAAGTTGTGCAAATGTGTTAGTCAAATTATTGCATATAACTTGAAAAGGATGGAGTATTTGACGAATTGACGGACAAAATTGGCAATTGTATTTGTTTTGTACAATCAATCATGGTGACTATGGAAGCTTTGTATAAATCCTAGAGATATAAGAATGAATACAATATATATACTCCGTACTTTGTATTACTTAAGAGGTTCTTTTTGCTCGCAACTACCATCATAATCGTGATTATTAAAGTTTAAGGGATTGGTTGTGCAATTACTTCTTGACATGATCTTTATCTTTATAGTTTTTCATCAATTTATTTGTATATTTTTGGTGATTATCGTATTTTAAACATTTGTAATTTATTACTGTACATGATAATTTTGATTGGAAAAAAAAGAAATCAGATTTAAAAAAAAAAAATTATGGCTCAAAATTTCGGACTTGTAGGGTTAGCTGTAGATTCGTCGGTCACTTAGAATTTAATATGTAATTATTGATTGGCCTGTTGCGATGGACCAATTTGTACATTTCTCACGGATGCTGTTTGTCGAATTGCTGTTGGCCAAGTGAATAATCCCACGAGTTGGTAACTGATATTGGCGGAAATTGGTAAATAGTACCAGTACACTTTTTTTATTAACTAATTCAAATGCATATTTCTAATCTTAAATAATTTTTATTACTCTATATACGAGTACTGTGTAAGAGTAAAAAATTATAAGAATTTAATATCATCAAAGTCAAAAAATAAATTTTTGAACAGTATTGGTATGAAAGTGCAAATTGTGCAATATTTAACAAACAAGAGAACCTATTATACCGTGCCCTGGAATTATTTGCTCATTTAACCAACAAATGAGTAAAAATATTATTTGCTTATATATTGATTAATTGAGTAAATAATCTCGGACATACGATATACGGGTGTATATAACAAATTCTAAACAAACAGGAGAAAATAAAGTGGGTAAATAATTGGTTTTTGATTAACCAATAAAAAAAGAGCCCCAAGAATATGGTCAATCGATAAAAAGGGTGTACTCACAATGAATAGGAGAAAATTCCCTAGAAAATTTACATGTGTCCAATCCCTTATTCCTCCTTTGTTAACAAGTTTACTGTGTAAAGAATAAAGACATAAAGGTTGTTTCTTTATATATAAGAGCAAAGTTAATTAAGCAATGAAAGTAAACAGTGTAAGCACTTTGTATTAATAATTATTATAAGAAGAATTGCAAGTTGTCTAGTTGTGAGTTATTCATGGCTCTGATTATAGAAATAAAATCTATGACCTAAATATAGCATTTTCTTGAGAACCAGACGATCTACATATTACTATTTGTATTTTGTCTTATCAAATTGGCTCTATACAACTTGCGCAAGTGCCAATGACTAGCAATCGTCTATATGCCATTACTTTCAGTTTTTCCTTTTAATCAACTTGATCATGCTATTGCTGGTCCTTCATTTACAGTCACTTGCTCTATCAAGATTATGGGTGTGCGTTTTATGTATCTTTCTACTGTTTCTGTTTTAGATTCATTTTGTTACAAATTTCTACCATATTATTATATTGCGTTTATTTGTTTATAAATCTTGAAATTTCTAATTTATTCTATTTTTAATGTTTTGTTTGTATATATATATATATATATATATATATATATATATATATATATATATAACTTCTATTTATTGGGATGTCAAATATAATGTACAAGTTTTTATCTAATTGTTATGGAATAATAGAGAGTTTACTCCGTATTACAGCACTTCACAATTTTCGGACTCAAGTTAAATTTTAATCGAAATTTTTAAAAATTAATCCAGCTTGTTTGCCTATGAAGTCACATTTAATGACTAGTTTTTACTCATGTTGTTATCTAGTAAGGTGAAAGGGAAACATTTGCTTCCTTTCTTTGAGAGTTGTTATCAATTAAGTGTGCTGTGACTTGTGAGTGATGCTGAAGCCTGAAATGATGAATAGCCAATTTGCAAGAATAGTTTATACTACTTACTGTGTATGGTCGTTATCAATATATTCTTTTATTATCCGTTTATACTTTTAAAGAAGTTAAATTTCATACGAAGTATTACATACATACATTGGATTCCTTATTTTATTCATTCGTAAAAATGCAGGGGAGATAGCTAGACAAAGCAGATCTTTAATTACCCTACAACACCATCCTTGCATGTGGCTTACGTATTGGACCTTTAGTCCTTTACGTAATACATTACGTACAAAGAATACGTATTAGAATCTTAATTAAATGTGCCTTTAATGTTAATCAACTAATCTCAATTAAATTTGCTTACATGCAATCTAGTTGTAATTTAGCTATGGTCGTTGAAAGACTTGTCAATGCAATTAGGGAATAATATATGTGCATATAAGATCCTTGTGTTGGCTATGTGTCGGATTAGGTAGGGTTGAATGATTGTGTGCACAATTTGGGTTGGTTAAGAGAAAGCTGTCTGGTCCTAGATCTTAATTGTTTAACATTCGATCTAAAGGATTAAAAGGTTTAATCTCTATGCCTGTACGTAATTCGATCTGTTTATCGTGCAAAGTTCTGTCTTAAATACAAAGTTAGAACTTAGAAGTATCTAACGTAGAAAAATTGTTGGTTTTTTTACCATTAAAAATTAGTCTTTTATTCTTTGCAACATAGATCTGAATTTTTTTTGTGAATTTTTTTGGATTAAATGTTGCAAACAATAAGGGATAGAGGGAGAATTTGGATAGCGTTCAACTTATACCAAAGGATCTTTGACCTCTTCCCCCAGACCTTTACCATAAAAGATGCCCTGAAGTCAGACGATCTTACAACCAAAAGAATGCCTCCTTTCCATATATTGCCTTTTAGTGTTCTTCGGTTCCTTTTTTTTTTTTTTTTTCAACCCAATACTTTTTATAGAAGATATATCTGATTTATAAAAGTTGAAAACTACATATATTTCATAATTGAGAATATGTGTAACATAAACTATGTTACATGCTCTTAACTTCTTATTTTTCATAATTATGGAGTAATGATTTGGCAAGAAAGTGGAACAATAGAAGCTTGGATTTCTATCTCAGCTCACATACTTTGATCTTTTCAGTATTGCAGAGAACTTATACCGTACGGGAGTAATCGCATTACGGCTTGGTGGATGTTGATCAACGCCGTGGTGGCGGCATAACTTATGAAGCCATTGTGAGGATCAACCATCGGATGAAAGGATAATATATGTGACTTTGGGATAAAGGACCACCAGCAACAATGTTCTTTATTGTTAATTGGACCACAGTTTCATCAATTGAAGTGGTGTTATTGTAATATGCAAGTGGCCAACGACCTGTGACGGCCTGTTAGACTGTGATGTGTGATGTTCTCACAGATTAAGCTACAACCTTGATTGGTTTCATGGTTTATCATATTGTAAGTAACAACTCCAACTCCATTACTGCTATTTGCTACTACTATTAACATCAAAGCCTTAATCTGAAGGTTTTGGGATTGTCTAACATGAATTGTCATTCGAAATCGTCCATTGAAAGTAAAGCAGGAAAATTAGTTAAGAACGTTAACAATTTATAGTGCAAAAGTGAAGGGGTGGGAGTTCAGGTAGGAAACAGTTAACTTAGGGGAAACTGAGGATTTGCAATGATCTGTTTGTCTGCCCTCAAACAAACTCAAGCCCATATCACTCTTTGGGCCTCATACATGGGCTTGAGCCCAAGTCTCAAAAGAAAGAGAAATGAAAAATATATTTTGTAGTCCTGCTGTCCATTTAGTACCCAAGTGATTTAATATATACAGTACAGTACAGTACACTAGTACAGACTGCAGTGCAGTTGTCCGTACTTCCTAGTTCAGTGCATTATGTAAGCATGTGCATACCCTTTCCATAAATAGCGATACTTTGTGCTTTCTAATTAGATAATGGAATCACAAATGTAAGAGTGGTCAGTTACAGTAGGATAATATTTAGTACTCGAGGTAGTTTGGGAAATGAACAAACAGAATGATTGTTTATTGTGAATTTCATGTGATAAATCATTTGTTAGATCGCCGCAATGTCCACAATTTCTCTGATTGCATTCTTAATTTATTAGGCAAGACTGTAGGTATGTTAGCCTGTTGGACTGGTTGGATTCTAGGTACAAAAAAGGCAATCCCGGTCCAAAATGAAGTAAATTGTGTGGTGGACTGGTGGTACTGAAGAAGGTAAGATACAACTATGTCTGCAGGATGCAGGATGCACAGATTTGGTGCAGCCGGCCAGTCAGTCAACCAAAGGAGATATGTATTCTATCTCGTGTGAGTATGTCGCTGTTTACGTGGTACAGACTTACTATTGTTTCTGATTACAAAGACTTTAATACAGTATGTTACATTGTTACAATGCCTGCGTTACTGTATTCCCTATTGATCCTCAGTTGCCTTTGAACATGATCACATTGACTCTCCATCGGATATTGTTCATGTTTTGCATATTCAAATCAATTGACAAAAAAAACAGTATGCATCATTTTGAGTTACAGACGATTCTCTGTTGGCAATACTAATTAACCATTGAGTAGAAAGACATCTGATTTTATACTAAATCGTAACTTTGACAGTAAATGATGTAAAATAGCAATTGAAAAGAAACTAATTACATATATCAAATGAAATAATCAAATCAATACAGAGGCTCCGTTTGTGCCTTTGTGGACATATAGAGGTACCTACTTCGCAGCCTCACAAAAACCAACTAAAAAAAGAATTTGATATAATAAACCCAAAAAAAATAAAAAAACTATATACTCTGTAATTTTGTGCTAGTAAATTACAGGCCTGCTAATTGCTCCAGGGGCTGGAAATGAAATCTAAAATTGCACAAAAAAGCTATGGATGTATAATGTACCTGAAACTGAAATCATATGGTACCACTTCTACTAAATCTGAAAGATTAACTTTTTCTTTTCTCTCAAGACAGCTAAATGCTTCTTTCCTAAGCTCATCAGGTAACTGGAGACAAATCCAATCAACCAATGAGTCTAAATTCTTCGCAAAGTCAAGTTGATACCAATCCAACAGCTTCGGTATTAAGAGCTTGTCATTCTTCGACACTCCAACTGCCGCCTGGAGATACTCTTTCTTTGCTACTTCCAATTCACTTTCAATTTGAGATGCTGTGTATATCCTCACCTATGTTTTAACAAGACATAATCACAATGAGCAAAGGGAGAATTTCCATCTTAAGAGGGAAGGATTGGTGCTACGAGGTTCTATCAAGAGACCTCATTAGCAATACACTCAGTTTCCATTGTCCCCATTTAAGTTACATACCTAATCCATTTTCAGATGTCCTGTATTACTCGGTACATTCTGCTATCAGTAAGTTATTTCTCTCTACTCTTTCCCTAAATTTGGGCCCTATACTCGCCCACAAATTACTCTCTATTCTTTTTACACCTTTATGCCTTTATCTCTGAGCAAAATATATAGTGCACATATTCATGTGGAATTTGGGACGAAGGGAGTAAATTTTCTCCATATCTGCTAAGTATGGGACCAAGCAATCAAATTTCTTAAAGCAATCAAATTTCTTAGTTGAACACAACTTCATGCAAATTTGAATGAACTATATCCATATATTCATAACCAATTTTACATGGGCATTTCCAATTTCAGATTCTTTAAGTTACCAAATCAAATGCTAAGGTAATGGGAAAACTTACAACAGGAGATGACCAACTTCCGCAGGATAAGGCAAACGTGACCAATGGTTCTACGCACTCCAAACCAAACATCTCGCTTGCCTTTAGGTCATCACCCTTGGCAGATTTTCTGCCACCCTGTTGAGAAAGAAAGATGTAGCAAGATCAGTATACATGACATCCTTGGATGTTGATTTACTTAACAGTAAGCATCGAGTTGATCTCTGTTTGGAAGATAGTAACAAAGATAGTGTCGGTTACCTGTTTTAAATAGTATGGTAATCTTAAAATAAAATGCTCGATTGTGATTGCATTCATTCTCTGGCCTCCCACCGTTATCGTTGCCTATAAAAATTTCAAAACAGTTTAATTTTACTTATAAAAAGTTGCAGTGAAAGAACTCCATACTATACCATTTCCTAAGATACATTAAAGCTATTATCAGACAACTAGCATTTTTTATTAAACATATACAAAAGAATATCATACCAATGTACCTAAGTGACTCATACAGGTACAGCAGTATTTATATAAAAGAGATGATGAGCACAGCTGCATGTTCTTTAAATAACAGTTAGAACCCGACACCAGAGGAACCTGATAGACTATGCTACTCATTACACCAGAGGAATCTTAACTGTGGTTTTATGTATACTAATATGCATCGACAAAGTGGCCTAACAATGATCAGCTGCAGAGATATCTGAATTCGTTTTAAGGTATGTATATTAAGAAAATCTACATCTTGCATTCAGTACTGTAAAAATGTTTGAGGATCTAATAAAACCTATCCAAGTTTAGCCAACAGTACTTGTAAAAGGAACATTCTGACACAATATTACAGTGCAAACTAGCTCAGCCTCAAGAAATTTTACCTCACGCATCAGCAATACAACCTTTTCTGGACTCTCGGGTATTCCATGCTCTAGAAAAGCCTGAAAGTGACATAACCTTAGCACAAAGCACATAAGTTGAGAGTTTCAAGATAGTACTTGGCATTGAGACCTTACATTCATCAAGCAGGCATTGTAAGTGTTAATCCAGAATGCAAGCTTATGCTGGTGGCTAAGACCGTCCAAGCTGACTCTGGCAAGCTTTCCAAGGAGGAGCCTAGTAACACCCATAATTAAGATAAGTAAAAATGCTAATACGCAATCAATCCAAATGTAGATAGTGAGAATATAGGGAAATGCAGCAACTAACTTGAGTTTATGAAGCAAGAATAGAGCATTTCTTTTCCGTTTCTGATCAAACGAGATAGCATCAATTAAGCAGAAATTCTTGTAAGCACCAATATCTCTAGCCTTGATTTCTGCAGAAGCTCCATAAGGATCCTGAAACTCCGAATCTTCCTTCTTTTGTCGAGAAACAAATGATAAAGGTGATGTGTCCAGCTGAGTTCCTTTATCATTTGTTGTGCCCATCCTTATATAAATGCTACACAGACACTTCAATATGTCTTCTGAGATCTTGTTTGGCTCGCTGTCTCCTCCTAATTCTTTGTTTACTGGCTGAAAGACAAAAAATGTCAGAATCATGGCAGTATAGAACATGTTTCATGTTCTAACTTGTAACTAGCACCGCAGACAAATATACCTGCTGTTTCTGAGATGGTTGACGCTTGAAAGAAGACTTCTTAACCGGTGTCTTGACCCTGGAAAGTTTTCTTTCTGAGAATTCAATGTTTCTGAAGTTAATAGAACACTTCTTATCACCTTCTCCTTTCTTCTCCTTCATTAACTCCAAGGAAAAATCATGATTACTCAAACCTTGTTTCCCATTCATCAAATCACCAGAATTTCTCCTAATATGACGAGTTTTAATGTTTGTATTCCTACTATTGGAATTGCTAAGTGTTTTATTTTCTTTCTGTTTGCAGTTTTCCAAAGAATCTGCAGTCGAATTAGGTTCATCCACTACACCTTTCCTATTAACCAAATCACTAGAATTCTGCGCTGTTTGATCAGAAACAATATCAGATGACGTTGAGGTGGTTCTAGCTAGTGACAGCGAAGAACGGTCAGACACAATGTCAGATGAAGTTGACGCCGTTCTGGCAACTGATATTGGAGATATCTCTGAATCAGAATGCTCATCTTTAGATGAACATCTACTCAATATTCGCTCGTAGTAATCCACAGGACTCTCCAATTTCCTCTTTGAACAAATGAATACAGCTTCCTCATATAAGTTATGCCTGAAAGTCACAACCTGCTCTTCGAGCCGAACCACCTCCTCTTCTAGGACAGCAATCTCTGCAAGAAGCTCCTGTGTCTGAAATCAAAACAACCCTTCAGGAATTCAAATTACTCCATTTACAAAAATCCACACAAACACTTAAAATTATAATCATTAAACAACTTAAGCTCAATTTCATCCAACAATCATCAAATGAAATGAAAACATTAGTCTATATATTAATACAAAGATTCAATACTTCATTAAAAACAGTGTTACTTACATTTGGAGGCAGATAAGGTGGCAAACGAGGAAGAGCACCTAAAGGCCTATTAAAAGCTCTTTGTAGGGCCCTATGTATGTTTTCTTCATCTCTGAGCTTCTTCTTCAATCTGTCAACCTGAATTCCAATCCTCAATTCATAAATTGAACAAAAAATCAAAAAAATTATAAGAAAAATATTATTTTTAAATATGGGAAATGTTATTTACATCTTGCAATAATGCCAATTTCTTCTCTTTGCTCTTTTGGTTTCCACTTGGTGATCTAGTTCCCTGCATCTGCACCTTATTCTCCTGTAAAAAAATGCCAAATTTGGAAAAAAAAAAATTATAAATGATATCAACTGCAAAACCCAGCAAAAATCTTCTTTTTTTTTCAATTAAAGAAAATAAAGATAAGAATGATATAAAAATAGAAAAAGACAGTTATATGTTTTGCTAGCTTACTTTCTGTAGCTCAAAAGATAAGGAATTTCTATCTTTTTCCAGATAAAATTGCAGAAACCCAGAAAGAAAGATTTAATCTTTTGAAAACCCAGATTTACAAAATACCCATTTGCCAACTAAAATTCAGATTGTAACATTGTATATCAAATTAACAGACCCACCAAGAAATTTTCAAATGACAGCTGGGAATAACAGAAAAATCAACCCATAAAAATTAAAAAAAAAAATTATTAACAAAAACAACTATTAAAAAAATATACAGAGAAGTAGAAGATTCATACATTTTGACGATTCAAAGGGTGTTTTCGAATCTGTTGAGACGTGCGAGCTTTAGTGTTCATCTTGTTCACTTGATGGGCAGCATGCACTTCACCATTTAAGCTATTTTTTTAATTTTATTGTCAAAATAAATTGCAGAAAAATAAGAATAGTGGGTATTTTAAATTTATGAAATGAAATGAGAGTAATGTATTACAGAGCGGGAAAGAGTTTGAATAGAGTTGAAAAGATACCCAGAAACAAAAATGTGGGTTGATTTTTTGTTGAATTTTTCTGATCCTGGTTTTTTATATTCCTTTGGAAGAAGATCAAAATGAATACTTTATACTTCGTACTTTTTAATATAAAACGTAAAATATATAAAAATCTGTAATAGCAGAAGAATAAGAAAGGAGAGGGGGTGTAGGAAGACGACGAATTTAAGTGATTGAACTTAAACGGTGTTCAATAGGTTTTGGAGTATTATATTCAAGTACTATTACTATTTTTATGTTTATGTTTGTTTATTTATATTGTCTATCTTACAAATATTGTATTATTTGGAGTTTCAGTGTTTCACACTTTTTAACATAACATTAATTTTATTTATTACGGAGTAGAATAGTTACAATTTACTCTATATGGATACTATATTAAAAGTATTAATCGAGATTAATCTATTAAAGTCTAAAAGATAATTAAAAATAGTCGAAGAGCATACTTAGGGCATGTTCTTTTTAACTTAATTTTAATCCAATTCAGCTCCAATTAATTCAATTCAACTCAGTTCCTAATTTCCTCTCTTATAAATAATTTATTTTAGTTCGACTCCAATCAGTTCAATTCAGCTGCAATCAACTCAGTTCAGTAAATCAAAGCAGGCCTATTCACAAATCCGAATAGTAAAATGTTTATCAAACAGAACATGTAATGTAATGATAAATGGATAGGAATATTAAAAAAAAATGTGGTGTAAAATTGTAAAAATGAAAGAATGGCAAAGAGAGGTGGAAAAAGGGGTGATATGGCAAAGAGAGTGGGGTAGGGAGGTGAGAGAGGCAAGACATTGTCTTTGTCTTTGGAATTTGGAGAGCTCATGCTAAAAAGCTACTAAAAGCTAAAAGCTGCTAGGATTATGATATTAGTACTCCTTACAATTTTAATTACCAAAGAAATTGAGTGAATGAGCGAGTGGTAGACAATGTAAGAATAGTTCCATATTTTTTTTTAGTGTATGTTTGTGAGTGTGTGACTGTGACGCCAACCTTGTTTCATCATGAATACCCCAGCGTGCTCCAATTATTTTACCAACCATAATCTTCTTTTGCTAAAGCCTATCTAAACTTTAAAGCTTATTACTTTAACCCACTTCACAAAAGCTATTGCCTTTTCTTTGCTACCTCCTACACAGTATGGAGTACGGAGTACTTAGTCTATGTCACATTATAGATTACCAATAAACGTGTTTATTTACATCTAAAAGTTATCATTTATTTTAGCGACGATGGATAGATTACTATTTACTTTACAAGAATCATTGTGCGAAAAATGATAAATCAATCTTCATTGGTTCATATACTAACTTACACATGAAGAATTCACAATTAAAATAAGCTCTAGGTAAAATTTATTTACAACTAAAATATATTTTGATAAAAGCTCTAAGTTGAATTAACAACTAAATAAGTTCAGATAACATAAGTTCATATGGAGTATAAGTAAAACACGAATGCTCTAATAAGTTCACAAGTTCTTTTAGTTTTTAGCTTACGAATTCAAATTAATAGTGACTATCATTTTTCTAGCGGCTTTAAGCTAATCATTAATTGCATTAATACAGTACAAAATTGTGTATGAAGATATTGTTTCTCCGTAGTCCGTACGTCGACACGCCAAAAATAAGCGAGATTCGGATCATTAGTACTAATGCAACTATGTCATTATCACTAATCAGTGAGTGGGATAGTACATAATTATAACCTTTCAAAGCTTATCATATCTAACTATTCTAAGTGTAAGCAATCAATATATAAAACAATTATTTTGTGTAACAAATCACATTGGTTCCCACATGAAAATGATTATATTAATTAATTAATTATAATAATTAAGAGTAGATTATCGTTGCTGAATAACAAGTTGGAATTGTTGACAACGACGTACCGCATTAATGATAATTAATTAGCCGGACGTAATTTAATTAGATGTGGCAAATTGACTTATAAACCAAGCAACCAAACGTGCCATTTAATGATTAGCCAAGAAAGATTCTAAAACAGCTCCAGGTAGGTAATTATACTCTGTAACTAATTATTGCAACTGTAATTAATTACTCACTTAATTATTTTGTATGCTAGGTTTAGAAGCTACTAAGCTAGCTAGTGAAAAATAATTTACCAGGAATATTTGCAAGAATACCACTGTTTTTGTAGGCTTGTATAATTAATAAAATTATTCTAACATTCTGGGTTTGAGGATGATAATGAAATTAAGTAAACCCTATTATTCGGATATATATTATCATCATTATTACAAGTATTAATTTTATAATATTTGACTTTTGTTATATCGTTTATAAATTTTTGACCTCATTTTATTAGCAATATAATATAAGGTATATATAAATATAAGTTTCATAAATTTAATAATTTTTTGATTGATATTCATGTATATTTGATAACATTATATTTGTACACCTTTTATTTTATTATATAATTTAAAATTTTCAATGAACAAATATAATATTTGAATAATATAATAAAGTCAATTATTGTTGAATTAAAAAAATAGAAGAATTTAATTTTTTAATAACATTAGCATTAGCATATTTTTCGTGCAACAAAGGGATATTATTTGTAAGATATAACATATTCCTTTGTTGCACATAATTGTAGACGAAAGAAGTATTGAAATAACTCTATACATTAATATGTAGGGTTTCAACAATGAGATATTTTAGGGAAACAATCTATTGTTAAAACTTTTTAAGAGTTTCTATCTAATTTCGAGTAGTAATCTACTAATCTAGATAAGATACAAGTAAAATACGGTCATTAAAGGATAAAAACATAACAAAACCTACAAATTCATTATTACCAAGCTACCTTAACGTCCTTACCCAACATCTTATCTATTTAATAATTTGCATAGGGAGAATAACAAAAAAAATATACAAGCATTACTAATTATAAACCTCCAAGACTTCAAATCTACCCATAATCCTAAATATATGAGTAATTTCCCATGCTCGTGTGTCTATAGACACAAATGATCTGGTGTAGATCAATATCGTTGTATGTTAACTTTCTTATTATACTGTAGATAATGCTTAGTGTAATAAATAAAAGGCTGACTTAAATTAAATCTTGATGATCGCCGTCCCATGACGATGTGCATTTGTGCTCCATTGCTAGTAGTGATCAAATGGTGATTAGCTTATTGAAAAAAAAAAAACTAATGGTTGGATAGCCATTCGGCCAATCTTCAATAATTCGGTTACAAGAAAAGAAAAAAAAAACCTAAAGTGATAAAAAGGCCAAAAGAGGGGCCACCAAAGGCACTAAATAAAGTATTAGCAATACATGTGGACACATTACATTACATTGTAAGGTTGATGATAATATAACATGGACCACCACATTACATAATAAAACATAATGCCTTCCAACTCTTTTCATAACTGCTAAGGGTAATCAAACCCTTTTTACGGGACAACCTTAGCTTTTATACCAAAACTTACCACTACATACCATTATCATTCTGTTTTTATTACTCTTTCTTGGTTGTTTATTTTGTTATTTCTCTTTCGTTTGCATTCATGGTTCATTGGTTCCCTTCTCCCCTCTTCTTCTTTTGCTATGGAATGAGGGTTAAATAAGACAGCCTATTTCGTTTCTCTACCCCTAGTGCTTGAATAATTGCCACATGGTCATCCGAGAATGATATATTATAATAAGTTAATAACTGAACGAGTCAATCACGAGTTGATTTAATTTGAGCAAAGCTAAACTTAGCTTAATAACGGTAGCTTGAAAGAAAAAAAATATCACTCTCTATTACAAGACGGAATACTTTATACACAGTCACATATATAGATAATTATGTTTAAGAGCTCCCAATAAGAAAGTTATCATACTACGTATAACAAGTACTTTAATTTCTTAAATCATGAATTTGTCAAATTAGCTCAATCAATTATACATTCGAATAGAGTTCTAATTGGATTTACTCAAATTGTAGTTAGCCCGAGTCAAGTTCAAGTTCCTGCAAAGCTTGCGAGTCAGCTTATCTTAATTATCATCAAAAGCTCGGTACATCATGTCATTTATTTGCCTTCCTTTTCACTCCACCTTAGCCATACTAAAGAGAAACTTTATTTCACATCCATAATATTGTAACAATGTCGCCCTTTATGATTACACGACTACCCTTCGTCCAAATCAGTAACCATTAATCCATTATACCTTCAGCTTTCACAACAAAGCACCAGCAAACCATGAAAGCTACTCATTTCTTACATATATGCCCATTTCATGCAAAAATTTACTTGTATTAAATTAGGTCCCCTATATAAGTTTTTATTGTATTTAGTTTGTTATGTGATCGATCAATGTACATATATTGGTCAGACCACGACGTAACTTTTGCAAGCACGTACAAAATTGGACCACGACTATCCACTATCTTGGTAAATACCAGGTTTCCAGTGTAATGATGCTACATTCAGCCACAGCAACAACTTAATGATACTTGAAGCTCAACATTTTTTTTTCCCTGGTACCTTTTTTGATGTCTTACGTATTTGGAAAGAAGTTGGACCGGAACCTGTTGCGTACACTTATGGTCTGTGCGTTATTGATTCATAATTTGAGGTGACGTGTATGATCATGTCATATACACGTACTAGTCCAATGTGATTATGTGAATGCCCATTGTAATATATTTGTACCAATCTTAATTCATTTTAGTTTAGTTATATATCGGTAATATAAAAAACGTATGCATACTTGTGACTTAATGAGTATTAATAAATACAAATTAAACTCGTTACCATTATATACGACCTTTTATTAATCGGACCACAAGTCCACAAGTAAAGTCAAACAAGATGAAAACTCATAAGAAGAAACAAATTGGGACCTAAAACTAAAATAGCTATCAGATCAGATCTTGGAAAACTAGTAGTCATAATCAGAGGCTTGGTCTTTTAAACTTAAATGAAGTTCAAACAGGAAAAAAAACAATTTGGGATAGATAGATGGATATAATTTCAGTGGAAATCACAGCTTCATATCATTAAGAAAGGGACGTTACCCGTAATTTACAAATTAGTGTCACGTAATTGATATTGGCAAGACTTGATACTGGTAGAATTGCAGCAATTAACAACTCATGCACGTCTGTACGTACGTCATTCAATCCTAATTAACTACTCAACTTAATAATATTAATCCAGTATTAGTGCGTCATATATGCATGCATGATTAAGGCAATATATCATAGTAATGGTATGTATCACCCTTAACATGTAAATATCATGTAATA